TGAACCCAAGTTCCCAAGCCAGCCAGCCACACCACCATGAATTCCTTAGGGAGGTGCCAGCCTCATCATCTTGAACTTCCCATGCTCCTGTTGGGGGCTAAGAACACGCTTATCTCCCTGAGCCTGGCCTTCATAAGTCCATTCCATCACAGGTGCCTGTCCGAGCATCCAGAAGGTGGCAATGTTAACCAAAGGGACCTGGAGCAAGCCTACCCTATCTGCTCTGGTGGGACAGAGAGATGTCCTCTTCTGCACTTGCAAATATAAGGGAGATAATTGTGAGAAAAATTCTGCCAGCGTCGCTGCCAGCAGTGATGGATATCAATTATATATATTTTTGTGGTACGATGGAATAGGAGAAATATGCACATGGAATCGTTGCAGAGCAGAAGCAATGACATTCTTTGTTCTTGCAAGTGAATAAGGCCATATGAAGGATTTCAAGTTTTAGTGTTGTTTTAATAGATTAGCGTCGCTGTAACAGCAGTCAGAGAGTGAGAAAAATAATCAAGCAGAGGCTTTTTTGTTCCCTGGTCTTTTTATGGCCTTGTAACTTCACATTTGCTGACTAAAAAGTAATATTTATTTTCAGGATCAGTTGTATATCTAATTAGAAAGGTAACAACTACATTTCCACTGGCTGAAAATCTGTTGTCTAAGCCTTTCTAATTAGAACATAGGCAGTTAGAAGCAAGCATTGCTGAGTTCACTGGAGTTTACTCCTAAGTAACTCAGCATTGCCTTACAGTCATGCCTCATAAACTTCATTATGAACATTGATTGTTGGGGTATTCATATATTAAGCCTGAATTTTTAAGCAGGGTGTGAGTTCCTTTGATTATTGGCCTTCTCCCAGGGTGGAGTTACGGTACTATTCACCCATCCTTGAATCTATATTGACATGAAATTTGCAGAAAACTATACCGCAGAGGCACAAGGTTTGCTATTCTGGCTACCGCCTCTGTTCCCAGGCCCTGGCAGTCATCCATAGCCCCTGAGGCCCTGTTTCACCCCAACTTAAATCCTACATCAGTCTAGCCACCTTTTGCATCTGATGAAGGGAGCTGCAGTTCAAGAAAAATTCTACCTTTTAATAAAATTTGTTAGAAAAGGAGCTACCAAACTCCATTTTTTGCTGCAAGAGTATAGACCCGTGTTTCTCAATCTCAGCAACTTTAAGATGAGTGGACTTCAACTCCCAGAATTCCCCAGCCAGCATGCTACTTAATTAACTACCTAATAAATTAACCATGCACGAATCTTAGCTGTTATCAAATAAACCAGGATTATAACGAACAACCCAAATGAACCACGCCTTCGCATCTGAGCACGCATCATGGGCTTATTCCGAATTTCAGGTTGAAAGCGAGTCACCATTTAACCAGCACACAGAACTGGAGTCCCAGCAGCCAAAATGCGTGATTCGCCAGACCAAGCAAACTAGAACAACTTTGCTATAGTGGCTGCAGCAATTGCAAATCTCTGTAGCCCTATCTGCCCTGCAGATGGTCGGGACTACACCATCCATCATCCTCAGTCAGTACAGCTTCAAGCCGAGAGCAGCAGGTTGGGGAAAAGGCGCGATCCTAGTATTCTCCGAGGAATTGGGCATAGTAAGGAAACAATTCGTTTCCCAGCAGAGAAGGGAAAGGAGCAAAAACCGCCCACGGGCCGCTATTTATGCAAATGACTCAGCTCGCGAGAAGGCGCCCGCAAAAGACTCTATTTCCCAGTAGGCCCCGCGCCTAGGAAAGTAAACATCCGCGTTCCTGCCCGCCCTCTTCTTGCCACGCAGACAGATCGCTTCCGCCGGGGAGCTGGACCAGGTCCTGCCAGAGGCAAGTGAGGTTCTGTTGCCAGGGGCAACCCTGGATGCAGGGGAGGCTGGGCTGCGCAGCATCGGAGGGGCCTCTTTTGATCCTGGCCGTGGACGCGTGGAAAGAGCAAGGAACCCGGGGGGCGGCCAAGCTCTTTGGCGAGCCTGCGGCGCTTTCTGTCGCCTCTGCTGCTGGTGGGTGGGCGAAGGGCAGCTAAAACATAGGAGACACACCTGATGCCGTCTGAGCTGTGGCACGGGAGGGCCCATCCGTGAGCCTTGTCTAGCGTTGGGGCGCCTCACATGGGGCGGTGGGCTCATCCTGAGAGGGGCAGAGGGACCATTTGTGCCAGGTTGTGCACAAGATGGGGCGCAAGGCAGTATCCAGTTTCCAGGACCGGCAGGATAGAGCCTGCGAGAGGCCCATGTTAGCTGTTTCCGACAGAGGGTGTGCTTGTGGGAATGAGGAAGGGCAAGGAAAGAAGGTAAGGATAAAGGATGTTTATAAAAGAGATAACAGATTATAATATGGTCTACTTTATTTTGGTGTTCCTCAACCTTGGCAACTTGAAGGCGTCTGGACTTCAACTCCCAGAATTCCCCAGCCAGCCATGCTGGCTGGGGTATTCTGGGAGTTGAAATCCAGACGCCTTCAAATAGCCAAAGTTGAAGAACGCTGCTTTATAGGGAATTCTGGGAGTTGAAATCCAGACGCCTTCAAATAGCCAAAGTTGAAGAACGCTGCTTTATAGGGAATTCTGGGAGTTGAAATCCAGACGCCTTCAAATAGCCAAAGTTGAAGAACGCTGCTTTATATAAGTATACAATTTACTTTGTAGCAGATTTTTTTTTAAAAAATCTATATCTTTTATTTTTCTCTATGCATCTTGGATTTATGTTAAAGCAGTTACCTGATATTGTTTGTTAATCACAGTTCAGTAAAAACAATGGGGAAAAAAATCTTTTCCCCTGCTTGGAGGAATGAATGAGACAAGAGGTTTTAGTTCTCTTACCTCCCAGAGAGGCATCTGCACGATAACCAATGAACTGGCATGATTTGATTTTCAGATTATTAAAATAAAATCCAAGTAAATGGGGGGAAATAAAGAATGATGTTTTAATTATTCCTTGCTGGTGAAAAAACAGACCACCAGCAGGCCGCAACTGGTCTCTTCTCAGCTGGGAATTGGCAATTGCCAGAAAAAAGCAAGCAGGCTGGGCTGCCTGGCCTGTTGTTTGCGTTGATGTCACTCTGGAAGCCTGCTACGCAGCAGTGTGTCAAGCAGGTAAAGGAAGGGGTGGGACTTGTGCAGTGATGTCACTGTGGGGTGACATTTACTTGCCCTGCTTTGCTGCAGCACCCCTGCTTCCAAGCTCTGCTAGTCAATATCTGTAGTGAAGAACTCCTTCTGCATCCAAAATATGTTATGACATGGTCTAGATTGCTGTGGAGAGCACCATGAGGCATTCAGGATGGGTTTTGATCTATCCCAACCAACAAGTGTGATGCCTGACTCCCCTATCTGTCTCTCTGTCCCTCTTCAGCTTCTCAGCCTTATCTGAATTTGCCTGAAGCTCCATGGCTGGTAAAACCGGACCAGAACATCTCTTCAATGCAGCCACTGAGGTGGAGACGACAGGAGCGGTGTTGGGCACCAAGTAAGTTAAAAGAAGATCATTTTGCTTTTCCCAGCTGGGTGCCCCCCGAACTGTTAAATACAACTCCTATCCTCCCCAGCCAACACGGCTAAGAGATGTATTGGCTGGATGTTAAGAGGAATTGTAATCTAACACTCTGAGGACAACAGAGTTGGAATAGCTGCTCTTTCAAAAGAGCTTCGGAACTAACATGTTTATTTGAAGAACACTTTTCTAGTTCTTTCCTGGCCTTCTGACTTTGCCCCTTCTAGGATCAACATCCCAGCACTCTTGCCCCAAGGCCCAGCTAAGGAATGGCTAGATCAGCGTCGGGCTACCATTCGTCCCTGGGCGAACTTCCTGGACCAGAGGCGTTTTGGAAAACCTCGGAATTTTGGGGAGCTGTGTAAGCGGCTTGTACGCAACGTGGAATATTTCCAGAGCAATTACGTCTTTGTCTTCCTAGGACTTATTGTGTATTGCCTGTGAGTAAATTTGATTGCTTCTTTGTTTACTTGTGGGGGGAGAAATTTTCCTGACTCTGTACTGCAAATATCCCTGCACAGGCCTGCATATATTCCACGGTGAAATTTCCTGGGCCAGGAGCATCCGCAGGGAAGGGTTGAAAAAATCAAAAGATGGCAGCCACAAACGTGCAATCAAAACTCTGCACCTTTGCAGCTTGTGTTTCAAGAAGGCTGTTCTAGTACCCTGCTGGCTCTAGAACAGCCACAGGTAGCAGGCACAATTCTAGAAAAGAATGAAGGGGGAATGTGTTGCCTAAGCTCACTCCTGTAGTTTGTGCCTGTGCAGTAAGCTGTATGTTAAAGACACAAATAGATCAGCAGAAATGTCCCATTCTGTGCCCATGGGCATTTCTGTGCAGGGGATAAGGAGGGGTCAAACAACAAAACATGCATCGTGACCAAAAATGGCGACTTACGTTTTTGCATCAGACGTTGGGATACAAGTAAATACGGGTGGCTTTGTGTCATGACATCACCACATGCATTTTGTCATTTTGATGTAATCTCAGTTTGCTGCGGATACCTGACTCTCTGTTTGTTCTTGGCAATGTCATTGCTTCAGTGCTTGTTTGGGTGAACTTCTGTCTGCAGTATGCATCAAGGAAAAGGATTCTGAGTGGCCTGTAGCTGGACACATTAGGGAGTATTCAGAGTCTAGTGGATAATCCCCCTGTTGTTCCCAGTCATAAAGACCTTCCACTATTCAATTTAGTTCTTAGAGCTTTTAGAAAATAACAGCCCCCGAGGAAGGCCTGTAAAGAAATTAATACACTCACCTAATATATCTTCAAAAGGTCTTCCATTTTTAGTTGTAATGGATTCAGCCATGTTTTTATTAATTCAATCTTAATTCCACTGAATTAGCAAGAAAGTTTGCTGTTGCATGTTGATTCATGATGCATTTAACTCCACTGGCCTTTCCTCTCTCCTGTTAGCATCACATCTCCATTACTTCTGATCGCACTGGCTGTGTTCTTTGGAGCCTGTTACATCATGTACTTGAAGACCCAGCAGTCACAGCTTGTTTTGTTTGGTAAGTGGCAATCTTTTGTTTCCGTAGGTGCCGTGTGCAGTAATAACATAAAACAAAGCTTGGAGCTAACCTAGAGTTTTATGCATGATATGCTCTTCTAGAACATACATTTCTATTATTTTCTCTTGTTTAATGTCTGCCCTTCTACAGTTAAAAAAATAAACACACACCTCCTTGCTTGTTGAAAGCTAGCTCATAAGGGGAAAGAGGAGGCTATAGCCTTGATATGTAGGCTTCCCATAGCTAGGAAATGTTCGCTACGAAAAAACATTCAATCACGCAGGCCCAAAGCCTTCTGAAATACTGTCATGCAATCGCTGGTGGATTATATCCTCTATTTTTTCTGAATTTCCAAGTCAGCTGCCCTGGCATCTAAATAGGGTTGCGCAGGCTGAATTGGAGATCTAAATTATTGACACTCAGAACTATATTGTTAGTTTAAATTAAAGTTAATTGTTAGATTAAATGAAGGTAAGGTATAGATTCCCATCCTGGCTCTTTCTAGATAAATTCCCATAAAATCTACTCAGCACCACCAGCGCCTACAGATTATGAAAACTGAAGTCTCAAAACTTCTGGAGGGCACCAGATTAAGGAACGTTCTTCTAGTACCAAGGCTGTAACAAAAGTAGCAAGTGAATTACAGTAAAATGGTCAAAGCTTAAATCTTGGCATCAGTGGAAGATACTTTTGCCCTATGATTAATAGTCACTGTATGGGTGCATTGGAAGAGCTGCAACTTGTGCAAAAACACATATAGGTGTGATGCGTAGAAAGACAGGAAATATGTGCAAATTGGGACTTTTTCCTCCCAGACCACATTGCCTTGGCATGGAAAGGGAACAGGGCTATTTCCAAGCTACTATGGGTTGCATTCAGAGGTTCCGGTCACTGAGCCTAAAAGAAGTAAGCAAATTATAATAAGTTTATGAAAAACTGATTTCTAATAGTAAATTAAGGAACTCTCAGGATGGTGTTATCCTGAGAGAGAGATAATGCACTACATGTTATACAACATTAAAAGAAAACCGATAGCTCATATTCATATGAGGAGGGCAGTTCTCTTTCTTAAATCCATCCATTAGATCAGTGTTTCTCAACCTTGTCAACTTTAAGACGAGTGGACTTCAACTTCCAGAATTCCCAGCTAGCTAGAATTCTGGGAGTTGAAGTCCACCCATCTCATAGTTGACAAGGTTGAGAAACACTGCATTAAATAGCTAACTTGAAAACATTCTCTTGTCAGCAAAAGTCCTTGAAAGCTACAGTTCCCAGAATAGCCACAAGATGGTGGTGCACCAACAAGAATAGTGTCAATCTTTGACAAATTTCCATACTTTGCTAGATTCCAGCCCTGTCATGTAGTTCCTAAACCACAGAAGGCAAAACCATAGCCTTAAGGCTGGTATCTCTTCAGTCAAGCATTCAAGACTGCCACCGTTTTTAACAATGGAAACCCAGCCTGATGGGCCAGTTGGCTTTATTCTGATTCAATGTCTTTTCCTCTAGGGCGAGAACTCAGCACAGCTCATCAGTACAGTCTGGCTGGAGCTGTCTCTTTTCCTTTCTTCTGGCTGGCAGGGGCTGGCTCAGCTGTCTTTTGGGTGCTGGGTGAGTAAGTAGGAAAATGCTGTTCCAGGTGCATTTCACTCATCCGTCTTAGCTCACTTTTTGAACCACGGATGGTGGATTGCCTTGATCCATTTTTGGTTATTGTTGATGGTCCCTAGCTTTGCCCACATGACTCTCTCTCTCCTGTCATAAGTGATCAGCTTTGGATATTTTAATTGCTGCTTACAGCAGCAAGCTTAACTGAAAAAAATGAAGTGACATAGTTTTCTATCGCGGTTACATTTCCCTTGCAGAAGAGAACATATGCTGTACTTCTCTTTGAAAATGGGGTGAATACCTTGACTTTACATTCTTCCTTCTCGGGAACTGCAGCATTGTTAAATCCCGGTATCTGGGATTCTGTTCCATCACACTGTGCATTGGAATCTTTCCTTTCTACTTTGGTTCCTTCCCTTCCTCGTCCAGCTTTTGGCCTCAGAAGTCCTTGGGAGCTACAAGAGAAAGACTCCCATCACTGTGAGCCTGAGAAGGGGAAGTGATCGATCACCCCGTGTCTTCCTTTCCCACTGTTTCTTCTGTCGTCCTCTGCAGGTGCCACGTTGGTAGTCATTGGTTCACACGCTGCCTTCCATGAACTGGAATCTGTAGAGACCGATGAGCTTCAGATGGAGCCCGTGTGAATGGCCAGAGAACTTCCTGCACCTCTATCTCTTCTCCCTCACCTCGCTGCTGTTACATTACCCATGTATATAATGCTGCTATGTCACTCACTGTCAACACGCCATCTTAAATTGCCATTTCCTCCAAATCTTTAAAGCTCTCAGTGGCTACCCTATTGAGATTGCCCTTTAGTCTTATTCTTCAGGCATCTCCCCATCTCTAAACTTCTTGTTCCCAGTGACCGTGGGCTTTTTCACTGAATATATAATAGAATGCTGCTGTTATCATATTTCCTCTGTGGGTTTTTAGATCCCATCGTTGCTTTCCCAGGAGCCAAGCACTAGAGGTTCCATGCAGACATCCTGAACCCAGCCTCCTTTGTCTCTTATCAGTAACATTAAAGAAACAGTAACATTAATCCATGCCTCCTTTGAGTGTTTAATGTGTGCAGCCCAAGGTTGCAGTGACCCACAGGAGTACATCAAGCTTACGCCTAGTGACTCTGCCATGTTTCCTTCCAAGGTCTGCAGCTTGTTCGGCAATGATGCGTCAAAAATCGCACATCACAGATATTTTTTACCACTGCTGCATTTGTCTGCTAAAGATGGAATATGGGAACGCAAAAGCTATCAAGGTTGGAAAAGCTGAATCTTTGCATGACCCCTAAGTAAATTAATCCCGGTTCTTCACATTTGGAGGAGTTTGGACCAGTTTGTGTTTTCTTGTTTTTAATAGCTTGAGCTATGTTGGTATTCAGGCAGCAGATCTGCACCGGGACTTTTTCACAAGAGTTCACATAATGAACAGGCACCTTATCTTGTAGAAATCTTTTTGAAATGTACAGAAGAAACCTTGTTCTTTTTAAAGCTCCTATTAGTCTAGTCTACAATATTACTGCAACGATTTAGTATACACATTTATATTTTCCATTTCATTTTCTAATAACTTACAACTAGCAATTCTATCTCTGCTTCGGCTTGGTCTTCCTTTAGGTTACACGTTCTAGTTCCTATCCAATATCATTCACTTTTGGAAATTAAGAGTCTTAAACTGTGTAGTTGTACTAATGGCTAATATTCTGCTAACAGATAATCTGTTCTGTTCATTGTAGCAGGATATTTCCATGGCCTTCCAGGAGAATTTTTCTCATGGATGTCACGGGACAAGGTTTACTATGTGCAAACTCAGCTTCTGTGTGTGAGTGAGAGAGAAATGTCTTAGAGGAGGATTAATAATGTGATGTGTTCCTGATGCATTTAATTAGCGCTCCATAAACTTAGCCAACGTGACCGATAATTGTCCAGCCTTCTGCATCAGATTAGGGCCCAAACCCACAGACTCAGTTCCAAGAAAGAAGATTTCAGCAAAACATCAGGAAAGTTTTTAAATTGTGGTTTTTAAGTGGAAAAAGTTGCTTTAGCAGACGTTTGGCTTTCCTTCATTAAAGATATTTAATGAAAGCCTGGAGGGCTTTTTTCATCATGGATTGCATTCTCTCCATTGGCATCAAGTTCAGCTTCATGACTTTTGGAATCTTTCAGTTTCTGAATCCTTTGTTATGAAACGGTGTGGTCCTTCAAAGCAATTTACTGGAATTCATTCAAGAAAGGTGGTCTTTGCCTAGTGGGTAATTCTTGGCAGCCACAAGGGGTGGAAATGGATTTCCTTTCAAGGAGACTCACATAAGATTGCAAAAAGCTGCCGTGTTCAGGTGTTCAAGCAGATGGAGGGATGGCATGGGATTAATGGTTATTTCCCAGGAACCACCAGAAGTAGGTTGCAAAATGTGTGATCACCACTAGATGGCAAAGGATTTGTTGCAGCCGTCTGGATTTTTTCAGTCCAGACGTGGTAGCCCAACTTTTTCTAAAGGTGGGTGATGGTGGAAATATTTGTGGGCCCTCCCCCATTACGTTAGCAATGTCCAAACAGTATCAGAAGATGACCGTTCTCTTTCCTCCTCTTGCAACAGGCTGGGTCTTTTACCTGCTTCCAGTTGGTTACCACTGATTTTTCCCAATCAGGTGTCCACCCCTTTGATGAACTACCCCGCCACTCCCAGTTGACAGCAGGCCAGCGTGGCATTGTGGAGTTACAGTGGAAGGCAACAAAGTGGGAAGGCAGGATGGTGCCTGTTTTTGGATTGAGTGGGATTAGTTCATTCAAAATGTGGCATTGTTATTGAATCCTTCCAAACGAAGATGCCTTTTGCTGGTTTCTTATTTTTTAGAGTGTGAAGCAGGTGATGAAGCCCTGAGGCTAACGGGGAATCTGCACCCAGGTGGGAGATATTCCTTCTCCTTTCCTCTTGCTCAGCCACATTGCTTACTAGATTATAGGTCAGGAATGGGTTAAGGTGGTGGTCTGCTTTTTAAAACCATTCTTGCTCCTATACCTTTAGTGACCCCTGGCCTTGCATTCCAAAATGATGCACTTAAGACTTCCCTTTTCCCCTCTCCTCCCCCTCCCCACCCCATTCCCTTGTGCTTCTTCACCCTTTCCATGCCAAAAGTTTCCATTTATAGAGTGCTTTCCTATTTGGCTGATACTCAGAAGCACAAGAGTTTGGACAATGTGGTCAGTCCTCAGTCCTCAGGAAGGGTAGAATTTGCAAGGCCTCTTGGATGCTGCATAATCCAGGTGGGAGAACAATACCCATCATTCCACCCGTGCCCAATCTCAGCATCCTCACCTGCCTTGTCACCATGGCCGTCTCTGTCCTGCTCTCCATCCTTCCGTGGCCTTATGACCCCCTCCTCCTCCTCCTCTCCCTCCCATCCCTGGGTGCCAGATGGAAAAAAACCCCAATCCAATTACATTAACTGAGTTAAGCAGCATCTTAACGCAGGAGACAGTACTAGACCAGGAAGGGTGGGGGATATTAGGAGCTGAAGTAGAATCTCCAAGAAGGCCTCAGAGTGAAGTGCTATAAGGCTGACACCAATTCCCTCCAACCTTTCCTCCTGGGTTGGGTGCTTGCCCCTCCCTCCCCCCGCTCCCTCCTTACAGCCAGCTCTAAACTGGATTGGGTTGTCTTCAGCAAAATGTGATCCCGTGGCCATTTCACCCACTTTTGCCTTCACTGTCATTGAGCTGCATGCAGGATTCTTGAATAAACACGATTTCCAACTCCATCTTCACTTTCTGCACATCCCTGGGAGTCAAGGTTGCAGATTATTATAATATCAGTACTTGCACCGTGTTTTTCCTTGCATGTGTGGTCTTCTGAGGACTGTGTCCAAATCAGACCCGGAGATCATGGCTGAGTTGTATTCAAATGCGCACACACTCTTTCTGCTCCTTGTTCCACCCTGTCTCGGTACAGCACAACCCACAATTTTATGGCCTCCGTGCACCCTCTCATTCTGCCTAACGGGTAGATGGACTCTCACGTGCATTTTCTTTTTCTTTTTTTCCCAACAGATGGGGCATCAAACCCCTGGTGTATATAATGAGGCGGTCACATATCTCATATTAAATATTCCACTTCTTTAATTATTTGTTAAATCTGTTGGGGTTTTTTTGTTGTTGTTGTTTTGGTTGGTTCACACGACGACACGATCCCGAAAGGGGCAGGGGAGATGGGACAGGACAGAAAACACCTACCCTGACATTATGTCCCCCCTCCCCTCGCCTCCCACCTTACAAAGAACGTAAAGGTTGATGTGATGTGGGGTGGAGGAGGCACAGAGAGATGAAGCCGCCTTAACCCACCAGGAGCGAGCGATCCCTTCCCTTCCCTTCCCCGCCCTCGCAGCTTAGATGAGAGGGGCTCTTCCAGGAAGGGGCTATGGCTGAAGTAGCAGGCTCAAGAAACAGGAGCATGGCTAGCCAAGGGGAGGGGGCAAAGTTAAGCACCAGTGGGAACACAGCCCGAAACGTCACTCCCTCCTCTCGGTCGGTTGCGGGGGACAACCCAAAGGCCCTCTTCAAGGGGCGCAGACCACTGGAGGGAAGGTGGCTTCAGTTGCTGTCATGATCCTAGGAGAGCAAATGTACATGCAAAAGAAAGAGATTCCACCCCTTCAGGTTTCATTTAAACATCTACAGAGTCAGGCTCAAGGGTTATGGGGGAGAGGAATGAAAAACCTGCTGCTTTTTATTCCAAAAATGAACAGTAAGATCCATGGCTGACCTCTGTCCCCCTCGTTTGCACATGTGCAGACACACACAATCACCCATACCCACACACACACACGCACGCACACTCTTCTCATGGGAAAGGAAACAGGGAACAGATTGGCACGGCGGGTGGGGTGGGGAGAGGAGGAATTCACCTCCCCCAATCAGGGTCAGACATCTTACTAGCGCTAACCAGGTCGCAATCATCCCCCTGCCCCCAGAAACCCCATCCTGTTTGGCTCCCCTATCCGAGGCATGTCGTTTCAAAGGCAGCTGGTCCCCGGTTCAATACCAGCTCTGGAAGGGAATTTGAACACTGGGGTTGGAGGAGGGAAGTTTTGCAGAGGTAAAGAAATATTGCCCCAATCTCCACGGCATTTCCCCCCCCCCTTCCCCAGCCTGCTTCTAGAAACCAAGGTAGAATTTGGCAGAGAGTAGAGGTGGGTGAGAGGTAGAGGGGTCCTTTCCCCTGCCTCCAGTCTGAGGCATGCATGCAGTACGAGACTGGACAGATTTCCCATCCCAGCAGCCTGGGTCGCGAAAAAGGGGTGGGGAAGGAGGGCTCGGTTTGTGGTTCCTCTGTCCCGGCATATGATCCTGGTGTTGCAATCTCTCATCATCATGGGGGGCGGGGGGAGGACTAGGCAGAAGTTTGGAGGGTCAAGATTCCCCCCCAGCAGGGGAGACAACCAGCAGTGGACACAGGAAGAGATTCAGTAGTAGGTTTCTTTCTCCACCCATCCTGTAGAAGAAATGAATACAGATTAGGCATCAGTGCCAGATGGCCATTAGGGCCCTCCCTCCAAATGCAATCCGGAATCCTCCCGTCTGTTTCATCTGCTCCTTATGTATACCCCCACCTGGGTAAGATGATGGAACAGATTATGAAAATAATGATCAGCCGGGATCATTATTCTTCAAAGGAAGAACTTTGCAGGGCTGAAAAAATGCTCTTGATTGTGCAAGGCAGGATAACTGGACCCCAATTTCTGCCCCAAAACAGGGCCTTGCCCCAAGGAATTTGCATTTGAAAACTCTTGTGGTTTTTTTGGAAAGGAGAAAGGAGAAAGGAGAAAGGAGAAAGGAGAAAGGAGAAAGGAGAAAGGAGAAAGGAGAAAGGAGAAAGGAGA